TAGGATTACCTTGTACATTTTTGTTCATTTCTGGATGTTTGAATTACTAACAAACTTCTCCCTTTATTTTTCATAAACATGAGGCATGGATGGCAAGAAAATATTGGAGGGGTTGCTTGAGGATGAAGACTTTGAAGAAATAGAGTTTCTCTCTTCTTTTTTTCCATAAACATATCTTTGTAATTTATTGCATTGGTAGACAAGACATTTCTTTTGTAAAATTCAAACTTGTAATGTAATGAATACAATACTTCTAAATAAACTTTGTGAAAATATTGTACCAATTTCAACTTTGAATTTTGGAATTCTTATTTGGATGTTTTTGAGTAAAATTCCTTGTTTTAGGTAACTTGTATTTCAAGCAATCACCAAAGATGATCAAGCAAAACAAAACAAATTTGTACTCCAATCAAACTTCTATAACAAAATATATGTTTAAGAATTTTAATTCTACTTGATTAACTTTCCTTCAAAGACTTATGATCAAAAAGTCTTAATCTTCAATTCTCGTTCAATAGCTAACTGGTAATCATAATGAATTCGCATGTCACTTCTTGATTCCAACGGGACTTCATTGTCTATCAAATATGTTTCAAGAACATTAGTCAGTCTTGTAGAATTAACAGACTTCAGCAAATTGTCTTTAAAAATATTGGAGATTTTTAAGACTCAATTATCTCTGAGAAAATCCTAAACCCTAATTATTGATTTACTGCCTAGGAAGAGAACTTGTTTGGTCGACCTTTGAGCGAATTGAGTGTACGAGAACCCTAGGGTAAACATCTTGCATGAAAAATTAGAAGGCAAATTTTGGGGTACAACACCTCAGATTTAGGGTGGCGACGGGAGGCTGTAAAATTCCTCGGGAAATGCTTACTTAAGTTCTTCCAAGAGGTGATGGACTCATCAGGAAGACTTTTGTACCTTGACATGGCCCTTTTCCTCAGTGTAGTAGGAAATAGTATGCATTTTATGGCGCCTCTGATGCCTCGGTAGTCGAGCAAGACATCTATATTCTAGGGTTAGTTGTCCCATCGTATGTACCCAAATTTGGAGGTTTTTCCATCCCAACATGGAGTGAAGTGTCCATGATTTCTCAGGACAACGGACTGCAAGGTTCGTCTTCGTTTCTCTAGTTCGACGACAGTGGTGGAGAGCAATTGTTCTTTCCACGTCGAGGACTATCATCTTGACGGGAGGACATACTTCTTGGATATACCTTTAGCTTGGGCGGAGGAGAATGAAGGTTGTCTGATCATTGATTGCACTTGGTTTTCTTTGCGACTGGGGAGCATCGGTCCTTGCGGGAGAGCGCGATCACGTTTCTTGGAAAATGAAGACTTCAGTTTTGTAGGCGATGAACGGCGGATAGGTCGTCATGGAGACGGGTTACGAGATTCATGACCTCGGTGTCTTCGTGGAGGAGATTTAGAATGGCGTCCTTTCTCCATCTCCCCGATCCTTTCATTCTTTTTCAGGATCAAGGCGTTGATCTGGTTGAGCCTGGCGAGCAGGGCCGCCATAGTCGGGTCAATGTTGGATGGCACCGAAACCAACTGAAAGTTCTCTGATGCCCATTATTGGGTCTTCTTGACCTTGTTGGTTTCCACAAACTTTATATCATCATCCACCCACTTCGTCAGAGGAAGGAGATATTGTGCGACAGCCTCTCCTATGGGGTATAACTTCTTCGAGAAACAGAATTTCTCGGTGGTTGTCAGTCTTACGGATGGGTGAGATGACAGTTTTGTAAGCAAGGTCGTTGTTGTCTTTACCAGCCATGATTGAATCTTGGAATGTTATTTTGATCTTCTAGCTTTAAGTAAATAAAAGATGGGAAAATAAGTTTCCCACAGACAGCGTCACTGATCTTACCAATGACTAGAACATATAATGGGCCGATAGCTGCATCTGTAATGCTGAAATCATTGAGGAGAGGATGTACCTGCAAGGCACTCTGATGCTCAAGTAAGTAAATATCTAGAGATACGTGAGATAAAAAGGGTTTGATATTTGAATACCTGACCTTCACATGTGTGAGGGTATTTATAGTGCCCCTAGTGCTTGACCATTTGTCTGCATTATGGGATGAATATCTAGGCCCATAATGTGTAACTGCCAGGATTCCTACACAAAAGTAGGGACAAGCAGCTCGTGCCCATCATCCTGAGATTTTGCCCTGCATCTCGAGGGCAATGTGCAAACTAGTCATTAATACAAGCAGAGATGTTCGTTTCTAGCTATGCGAGATGGGTGACATGTGTTGGCCACATGTCCCCAAGTTAGGGGCACGCGGGAGGCGTGTTTTCCGCTAGCTCTGATGGATTAGGCCACCACCTTTAGGTGTTTCTAGATGTGAGTAGATTGGGCCAGCCTTATGTTCAGTCTTGAACAAGCTCAACAATGGTCGATCATAATCAATATGATCCAACAAAAATTGTAACAATAACAACCATTTTTATATCAACAACAATGATTAAAACTCCACCAAAAAAACCATCAATCCATTCCTTGATCAATTCAGTCCTTATTACATTTATCTTTTAGAAAATCCAGGTGAAATTCTTGTCTCCTCACTGTTACACCCCAAAATTTTCCCTCCTAATTTTACCTTTCTTTAGCTTAGGCTTTGCATTTCACTTTCATCATTTTCACTAGGTCATTTGCATATCATTCATTTCGCCAAATGAGGCATGGTTTCAAGAAGTAGTGTTTGTGCAGGTTAGGGTCTCATAATGGTTTTGAGGACTCTTCATCAAAAAAGTTTGTCTCATCTATTAAGGTTTTGAAGTATGGTTATCAGGGGCTTCTTATTTATCCAACTACAGGGCTTTTCTCCATCAAAATTCCTCAAGGCCAAAGGTTAGGTTTTATTTCCCTACCTAAGGTCAAGGAATTAGGGTTTATGAGACTAAGGGTTGTGTGTGAGTTTCTTATTTCATCAAGCTACATCAAGGTTCCTTCAAGAGCATCAAGGTGCCAGGGTTTCCTCCAATACTTCAGAGGAGAATCTTTTGAGTTAGGGTTTACTTCCTCATTTACACCTTAAGTTGTCTTCTTCTTCATTAAGCATCTGAGATAAGTGGATTAGGGTTATCACTTCTTCAACTGAGGATTAGTGTATTATGGTTTGATCTTATGGCTATCTAGAGCCTCTATTCTTTAACATTTCAAGCTTGATCTTCTGACTACAGGTGTTTTCTTCAAAAGCTTAAGAGTGTGAACTTGGGCTCAAGGGCTTCTTTGTGGCTTGTGGATCAAGCCATCTTTTCTTATGTGGCTTTCATTATTTGGTCAAGATATGGTTCTTCTAGTGAGTCATCATTGAAGAACCATATTTTATCATTCAGAAGAGTCATATGTCGCTTAAACTGCAAGGTGTAAATTGTGGTTTGTATGCGGGATTCGACTATCTTACAATCCATCAAGCTATGGTTTTGTACCATGATTTAAGGGTGGTTTCTTTAACAGATTGTTGCTTATAATGCAGGGCATTAAGGATAACAGATAAATGGCATTCTTCTGAATTTCATCAATTGGTTAAAAAAAATTAAAGCATTGCATGGTTGATCTTGATTCAATTTCTTGTGGGAGTATGAGGAGGCGTCGACTCTAGGTACCATATGACAAAAGTTATTCTTAATGTTCACATATTCATTCATGGTCGGAAAATCTAGCAAATTCATATTTGGAATCAAGAGTGTGATTAAGACATTCATTTGCAAGGTTTTTTACATTTGAAACAAAGTGTTGAATCAAATTTTCATTTTTCAGTTTCAAAGCAACTTCACACTATTTCACACATGGAATCATAAAGAATCAAGTTCATTAAAAATTCAAGATCCATTCAGATTCATCATTTAGATTCATTCAACAATGTTCAAGTGGTTATCAAATTTTTAAGGATATTTATCGATTCATCAAGATCATCTAAACATCATGTTCATTAGAAATCCTTTACAAGATTACATAAGGGACATGAAATCAAAAGCATCCAAGCATGTTTCAAACAATTCCCATTTAATTTCATCCATGTTCATACAACATTTCCAATTCAAGGCTCATATTGCACCATTCAAAAGCCACTACATCATAAAACAAAAATGGAACATTACAAGCTCATGCTAATTCCTAAATTCCTAAACATTAAGCTTCACTTGATCCAAAGCTTTGCTTCATGTCCATAATCCAAACTTTGACATTCTTGATACACCAAACCATTATGCCACTAGTTGTTGTCCATAAACCTTACCAAACTTGCCACAAAACAACAAAAAAACATGTTGCTGCCTTGCACTTAAACCCGTCCATAAACCAGCCAAAAATTGCATCAAAATAGGTAAAATAAACATGCTACAAGTGAAAGCGTAAATCAGTAGACCAAAACTAGTTTTAATTTCAAAATCTTGGCTCCAATTCTCCCTCTAATTCATCCCCCATTATGCTATAAAAACAGAAGACAACAAGAAGCAAAGGAACTCGGCTCCATCTTCTCTTCACACCTTGGAGAATCACCAACAAAACCATCCCCTCTGTTCAAAATCCATCTCAAAACCACCCTGCAAAATCAATACAAACATATATTGCATAAAATCTTAAATAAAAACCACCCTTCAACCATCCATACACCTCATAACCACAAACTGTGCAAAATTATCCACTCCACATTATCCCTACAACAACCTTACTTACAGACCATTAACTTCACTATCATTTCAAGCTGACCCTGCTGAAAATAACCAAAACATCCACTCCATACTCCCTCAAAATTGCAGCAAACCTTAAACCATAACCCTCACCCTGCTAATTTTAAATCCATACCAAAAAACTCTAACCTCTGCCCAAGAAAACCTTGCCACGGTCCATATTCCTACTCAACTCCAAACATCACTCTGATCAACCCTTCCCTTCACAACAACCAAACCTTACCCTATGTTTTCGTTAATACCTCACGACCATCATACAAACTAGCCATGTTCATGTGCACCTCACTGAAATCGCTACAGACACACACATAAGGACATGCCGACAACAACAACAAACTCAGAAGTAGATTCAGAAGTTCTAAGGCATAAAACTAAAGAAGAAGATACAAGAAGTTGAATAAGAGGAAGAATCGAATACAAAACACATACCTGAGCATATTTTTCTAGATTGCTCGTCGCTATCATAATCGAAGAGGCATATAACTCGTCTCTGGTAGGTAACATTCTTAAATCGTTTCCTTTAGATTTTTGATGTGCGTTTGTTTCGTTTGGTTGAATCAAAATTGACGCGTGAGAGGTGATGATCTGCAAAGAGAGTGAGACACGATGATGAGACACATACGTAAAAGAGAGGAAGATGAAAATCGCGAGGTTTTTATGGCGTTTTCGATGACGTCACTTGGTCCGACATTGGAGAAGAAGAAAGAAGAATATTAGTCGAGTTTATGAGCGGCGGAGAAAAGAGGCATGAGAAACTCGTTGAGCATTACCGCTGAGCTTACCTCCCTTTGGCCCTCTACACCATTTTTATCAAACCATTTGCCTAGCACACAAAAAACTCATATTGAATCCTTATGTTGGGGCTCTAACGCCTTTGCTTTGCTATACACCAAGTTCATGCTTTACACCCTCCTTTTTATTTGCTTGCCTTATTTTTATTTTATTTTCTCTTTATTAAATATTCTTTTAATATTTATTTTCATAAAAAAAAATATTAGAATAGGATTTTAATTTCCTGTTAATGTTTCTTTCACTATAAAGATCATAAAATATAGTAGAATTTTATTTCTTTTATTTTGATTGTGTGTTTGGTTGATTTATTGGCATGCTCCCATAAGTTTCATTTTTAATTCAATTTAGTTAAGTTTTCTTGATTAAATTGAAATAAAACATAGCATATCCTTAGGTATTGATTACAATTACATGATAACTTTAAGATAGAATTTTCCCACTTCAAAATCAACTTTAAGTCCATATTTACATGACAACAATTAAGATCAACTCTCCCCTTAGACTTTTCTTTTACATCATTTTAAAATAAAAACTTCTTTTCTTTAATCAAAATCCAAAACATCTAAAAGTACATTTCAAACACTTTCAAAAATTAAAGAAAGAAATACTTAAGTATCCCTTGTTTAAGGGAACCACTTAAGATATTTCTCCTAAAAAAACACTTCACAAATCAAAACTTTTTCCTCTTGGCTTTTCTCTGTAAAACCTTTTTCAAAAAGGACATCTTAATTCCTTTCTACCGTAAACAGGTAACGCGTGAGTCTCCAAAGGTCAAGCAGCAAACGCCTAACTGCTAGAATATGAACTTAGCATCGCCCATAAAAAACACACAACAAACCAACATTTTTAGAAGAACTACTATGTTATGATTCCTTTCGGGGATACGTAGGCATTGGGTTGTAAAACTCGAACGAACATAATAATACAAATCTTTTCTTTTGCCCAATAATTCATTCATGCATTTTCCTTTTTGCAAGTTTAGCATTAGATAATACACCATTTAGATTATAACAACAAGAGTAGATCTTGTGGAGTGCCACAAACGTGAGGGGTGCTAATACCTTCCCATTGCGTAATCGAATTATGTACCCTTCTCTCGGTTGAAATACCATGTTCTTTCCAATCTTATAGGTTTTCTTTATATTTTCCTTTCCCTCTTTGGGATAAATAAATTTCAATGGCGAATTCATTGTCTTAGTATTTTTAGAGGTGCTTCAGGTGGTAACTTCACTAGGGAAACCTAAGAAAGTCAGTCATAGCTCATGTTCATTTTCTTTTCTTTGGGTGTCTATCTATATGTTTTACTTACTTTATTTGTTGCATCAATCGCATTTTTGTTTTGATTTTATATATATCTCGATATTGTTGTTCTTTTTTTCTGTTGCGGTGGGATGGTACTTTAAGAGATAAGCCCACTACCCGGGCTTGAGTTTACCACAAGATTAGAGTGGATGGACATGACTACTACCGTAGAATTTAATACATAAGAGTTGGCATGAGACCCACACCCAGACGAGGACTTTTTGGGGGTACATTTGTCTTGCATGCTTATGTACAAGACAAGGTATTCTCATAGAGGGTTATCGACTCTGGGAACCTTTTAGGTACCTCTGTTCAAGATTAGAACCCACCTGTGAGAAGGGGTTTGGTTTTTTAATAGGAAAACTTGGCATTCATTCGACCCTGTTTATTCTGGTTTTCTTACAAAGGGGAACTTTTAAACATGTGTTATTCACCCTGTTCATAGATTCAGTACAAGATTGTGCCAAGTTGTGAACTCATGCCTTTGCACTCATAACATCATGATATAATTGTGACCTACATGTTCATTTCACTTCCAGGGACCTTGTCTTTGATTCGTGAATTAAGCTCATTCCTCAGAGATGGACACTAGAAAGAAGGATACCATCAATTACAATGTTCAGACGCCAGTTCAAGCTGAGATCAAGAAGTCTTGAGATGAAGCTCAGAAAGAACATTTTTACATCCTTTAGATTCAATAAGAGATTGATCATATGGAAAGTATTATCGACATAAGGGATATACTTTTCAAAGAGATGATTGAGAAGACAAAAAACAAATCAACAAAGGAGCTATTCAAAGAATCCCAGGAGTGGAGTAATGAGAATATAGGTTGGGGTACCCTTGCTAATGTAGAGTTTGGGGAAACATCTTAGGATTTTTGCTTTTTATTTTTTGAGAATATAGGCTTGTTGATTTGGATTTATTTGCTTTGTATTTTGTAGCCTTTAGGCTCTTGACTTTGTACTAAACTCATTGTGATAATCTTAAATGTCACCTTTTGTTGTGTTAATTTTCTCTCTCTTAAAACTTGAATCAAAGTTCAGGGTCCTTACAAATGAACTGAACATGTCATTTGCATATACATTCATACATTTCATGCACACATTTATAACATGTACTCAAAGTTGGGAATTCTTATTCTGACTTAGTATTCTCTTCAGAGCTACAAACCTAACTTCTCACCACGATGCAACTCACTACAATTAGAGGCTAGGTATGCAACAACTTTGTAGGAATTGGCTGAGATAAAGGTTTAAATGGGACTATTTATGGTAGACATGCAAGTTATAGCATGTGGCTAAGACTTCTCAAGGAGGAAGTCAATTAGTTGAAGACTGAGATGAGCCTGGTCATGGAAATTCTAAGGACAATGTTGAAGAAGGAAGGTAATCATATACCTGCTTCCACAACAGAAGTCGTTACTTCTCCCCATCTTTTGAGATCTCCTTCAAATCATGAACTACCTCTACAAACTTGGGTTCCCAAATCTTTTCGTCAACAGTCACCTCATGTTCCCTAAGCGAAGCCAAATGGTAAGATATGTCAACCGAGACAAAAGAGGAATGAGAATCTATTTGATCTTATTCCAATGCCTTACGCTCAATTTCTTCCACTTTTTCTCGAGCTTCAGCTGGTTGAGCTTCAAACTCTTGCTCCACTTCCACCCGCAAAATGGCATCCTGGTTATGATGTCAACACCATGTGTGAATTCCACTCTAGGTCACCTGGGAATATATTAGAATTTCACATCTTTGAAGTACAAAGTACAAGAGCTCATTGATTCAAAGTCACTTGAGTTCACACCCAAAGACATGCAAAGCAATCCTACTCCAAGTGTTACGGGAGAAAAGGTTAATTATGTCTTTTATCGGGTCCACCTCTGGGCATACTCTACAGTATCGGGTCCCAGAGTCTATACTATCAATCTCTGCTTACTCTTCATCCAAATCATAAGAGGAAGGAACTTGAACAGATATGGTTCCTGAAACAACATAACTTCTCTCAGAAGAAACAACTGAGACCAAGGAAGCTTGAAAGAATAACAGATCCAATTCCTATGCCCTACCGTCAACTTCTTCCTCACTTGCTCCATCATCAAATGGTTGAAATAAGAGAGTTATTGTCTCCTATAACATATCTTCCTCTGGGATATGATGTTGATGCAAGATGTGAGTTTCATTCAAGTGCACCTGGCTACTCGATTGAGAACTACTGAGCTTTGAAGAACAATGTGTAAGACCTGATAGATTTAGAGGCTATCACATTCACTGAAGGTGGTTTACGCATAAATTAAAGACTGTAAAAAGTATCCAGGAGAAATAAGTCCAGATGGAACCAAGCCCCATCAACATTTTTCAATCATTACTTCACATTATTGCATTTTCATGTGTAATCTTTCTTGCCTATTTTGCATTGTTTGCTTGTAGGAAACCTGTTTATTTTTAATGAAATTCTAATACAATGAGTATGTTTGTCTTGAAGTAATCCATTTGTTTTCCTCATACTTGTTTTTCTCTTTTGTATTATAATACCAAACATTATTTAAAATCTCTTGCTAAGGAAAAGGTTATAGGGAGGATGATGACAATTAAAAAATGAAAAATCTCTGGTTGTATGGTTTTGAATAAGATCCTGTTGATGATGTATATGCATTGTTTCAAATCCACAAATACTGGATATATAAGTAGTGAAACCCTTGTCAACCCCTTTGAGCCTTGAAGTAGGAGTTTCTTTTGGAAAAACCTTACATTTTTAGCCAGGGGCAGGGTAGTTTTTAATTAATTTGACTGAGCGTTCAAAATTCAAAGGGAGTGTGTACCCAAGGATCAATCACAATGGTTATCCTTCATAAATCAACCAAGGAACGAGGAAGTTACAACACTTACACCAAGTCAAAACGACTCAGGGTCACACGATTTATTCAAATCAAATGAAAATAAAAAAGAAAACCCGCTAAGTCGACAACTTTAAAGCAAGTGACTTAGGCAAAAAAAATTAGGGCATCCCGCTAGACTGCAAATTCAAAATAAAAAAAGAATCAATCCAAAAAAAGTTAGGGAAATGATGAAAGCGCGTGTGATCGGTGGATCTGGAACTGACTGTTTAACGCTGGTTCACGAAATGTCGCGGTAAGCAAGAGTCGCCACCGTCTTTTATTTTCTCCAATATGGAAAGGACAAAAGCACAGAAAAATTCCTTATTGAGATTAGCTCTCGGTTCGGGAGGTAGATTTATAGAAAGGGAAGGTGTTAGCACCCTTTCTATCCATGGTTATCCATGGGCTCTTAGATACTTGCTCATTTGTGTTTTCAAAAATGTTTGTTTGCTTTTCAAGGTGAGTGGGTTTGAAAAAGTTTCGTTTAAAGTTTCAGATCGACTCTTGTATCAGTCCTCAAGAGTGTTTGAAAAGTTGTTTTTAAAAGCTTTTTGCAAAGTGTCGGTGTGAAAAGAAGTTTTTGATTTGTTTTGAATTAGAGCAATTATCTACGAGTCATCTACCTACCCTAAGGAATTAGTCTGTGTAAATGTCCTTAAGATAGTGCCATCCCACCATTGAGAGATAGGTAGCACCACCGTTGGAGGTGTTCGGGTCAATTCGATTGTTAGGGACAGTGTGGTCACCAGAGCAATAGTAGGACACCTTAGAAGCTACCCCCATGCCATGTTCATGGACATGAGGACTTACTAAAACGTCCTCTACTCGACGACCACGTTTCGAGGGGCAAGGCAACAGTGAGGCGTACCCTAGTAGTGGTGTGTGAATTGTGTGTCATTTTCAGTTATTATTTGTCTTGATCATGCATTGAGTGTTCTACGCTTTGATTTTATTTGAGCATACATTCTTTCATATTATTAACAGTTTAAAGGTGCGGAATTTAAAAGGCGGAAAATACAAAGGTCCTACGCTATTACAA